ATAGAAAACACTAAAGATTCCACCAAAGTACTACTAGATTTGATAAATGAATTTTGCAAGGTAGCTGGATACAAAATTAACATCCGGAAATCGATGGCATTTTTATACACCAACAAAGAACTCTCAGAAAGAGAAACTAAAAAAAAAAATCCTATTTACTATTGCAACTAAAAAACTAAGATACCTAGGAATAAACTTAACCAAGGATGTAAAAGGCCTATACTTGGAAAACTATAGGAAACTGAAAAAAGAAATAGAGGAAGATATAAACAAGTGGAAGAATATACCATGCTCATGGGTTGGAAAAATAAATATCATTAAAATGTCCATACTACCCAAAGCAATTTATATATTCAGTGCAGTTGCTATTAAAATACCAACAGCATATTTCACAGAGCTAGAACAAATTTCCAAAAATGTATATGGAACCAACAATGTCCCCGAATTGCCACGGCAACCTTGAGCAAGAACAGAGATTGAGGGATCACTTTACCAGATATCAAACTATACTACAAAGCCACTGTAATCAAAACAGCCTGGTATTGGTACAACAGACATACAGATCAATGGAACAGAACAGAGACCTCAGAAATAGACCCACACCATTATGGTCAGTTAATCTTTGACAAAGGAGGCAAGAGCATCCAATGGAGTAAAGACAGTCTCTTCAATAAATGGTGCTGGGAAAATTGGACAGGTATATGCAAACAAATAAGACTAGATCATCAACTCACTCCATACACAAGAATAAACTCAAAATGAATAAAAGACTTAAATGTAAGTTGCGAAACCATAAAAATCGTGGAAGAAAACATAGGCAGTAAAGTCACAGACATCGCACGTAGTGCAATTTTCACTGATACATCTCCTAGGGCAAGAGAAACAAAAGAAAAAATAAACATCAAACTAAAAAGCTTCTGCTCAGCAAAAGAAAACAGCCTCAAAATACAAAGGAACCCCATGGTCCTGGAAAACATATTTGCCAAGGATGTATCTGATAAGGGGCTAATTTCCAAAGTGTACAAAGAACTCATATTACTCAGCAAGAGGAAGACAACCTAATTAAGAAATGGGCAAAGTACCTGAATAGACACTTCTTCAAGGAGGACATACAGATGGCCAAGAGACATATGACAAAATGCTCAAAGTTGTTAATCATCAGAGATGCAAATTAAAACCACAATAAGGTATCACTTCACACCTGTTAGAATGGCTCCATCAATGAATCAACAAATAACAAGTGCTGGCGAGGATGTGGAGAAATGGGAACCTGGTGCACTGCTGGTGGGAATGCAGACTGGTGCAGCCACTGTGGAAAACAGTATGGAGGTTCCTCAAAAAATTAAAAATGGAGCTACCTTTTGACCCAGTGATCTCATTTCTAGGAATAAATTCTAAGAAATCCTAAACACCAATCAGAAAGAATATATGCACACCTATGTTCATAGAAGCATAATTTACAATACCTAAGATATGGAAAAGGCCAAGTGCCCATCAGTAGGTGAGTGGATAAAAAGCTGTGGGACATTTACACCATGGAATACTATGGTGTAAAGAAGAAGGATCTCGTACCCTTAGGGACAGTATGGATGGACCTGGAGAGTATTATGGTAAGTGAAATGAGTCAGGCAGAGAAAGACAAATATCACATGATCTCACTTATATGTGGAATCTAAAGAATATAATAAACTGATGAACAAAATATTTAGTGACACAGAAGCATGGAACAGACTGACAAATCTCAGAGGGAAAGTGGAGGTGAGTGGGTGGGGAGAAATTAACCAAAGAATTTATACGCATATATTCATAACCCATGGACACAGACAATAGTGTGGTGAAGGTCTGGGGTAGGGAGTGGGTGCAGGGTGGAACAGGTCAATGGGGAAAAAAGGGGACGTCTGTAATACTTTCAACAATAAAGTTAAATTTTTTTAAAAAGTCAGTGGAGGCCTAGCCAGGCATGGCTCAGCAGCTGAGTGTCGACCTGGGATCCAGGCGATCCGGGTTCGATTCCCAGTCAGGGCACATGCCTGGGTTTCGGGCTCGATCAATGACTCTCTCATCATTGATGTTTCTGTCTTTATCTCTCCCTCTCCTTTCCTCTCTCTGAAATCAATAAAGATATATTAAAAAAAAAAAGTCAATGGAAATAAGGACAAATATTTATAAAAACATTCCTGCTTGCAAAAAAAAAAGTTAAGATGGCAAAATGTATGGTGTTTTACCACAACAACAAAAAAGGGAAAAAGCCAACTTGGTACGCAGGTCCCAATCTTCCTTCTCCACCACAGTGAAAAGAAACGTCATAAATCCAAACACCCTGGGCTCCTGGGACCTTCCCAACTCCATCACCGAGGCGCCCCGACTGCATCCAGTGCCGGGCTAAGGGTACCCTCTGCGGGAAGTAGAGAAATAACTTTCCTCCACGGAGTGACAGCACTTCCCAAACTTTCAAGTGCGCATAAAATAGCGCGGGGTCTGGTGAAAGCGCGCACTCTGACTTAGCAGGTCGGGCGAGCCCAGCATCTGCACTTCCGTCCACCTCC